GCTGGGCCTGCGCGGCCAGCTCGAGCCCGCCCTGCTGCCGCACCCCGCCGGGGCAACCGGCCCCTTCAGGGGCGGCCTGTGGCAATGCCGGGGCGGGAAGGGCGCGGTCTCGGTACCGCTCTGCTGAAGTCTCTCCCCGGGCCTTAGGTAGGCCTCTTGGCTAGCTAGGCGGTGGCTTTGCTGGCCTCCTGGGAGGAAAACACCGAGAGCTGAGGCGAGAGAAATACATTTGGCCCAACCTCTTAGAGTGCTTTCCCCAAAAAACCCGAAGCTTTTGGGGGGGAAGGAAGCACCTGCTTCACAGCTCTGCCTTAATGTGTCCACGCTTACTGCATCGCCCCTGAAAAGCAGCCGCTGCTGATGCTGCTTCAGGGCATGAAACCGCTTTCTAGTGGCTAGTTGTAAGGGAAATTATACCCTGAAAACAGGACTGTTTTCAGTAACGTTATTAACTTCAATAATGCTTTAAAGTCTGGATTGTTTCTCAGCGTTTATGCTTATTTCAGTTTGGACAATAAACTAGCAATGGGGTTTTTCTTTTTGGTTGATGCACTGGCTAGTGGCATAGTTCACAGGTTGCAAACAGTATGGTTTAGAAATTGTGTGAGAACATCATTAATTACATATTTGCTAATTGGCTTAGAAAGGGAAACAAAGGAAATAAAAAATAAACAGGGAAAAAAAAAAAAAAAGACTGAGATCATACCAATTCCAAGTTTTCAGATTAGACCGGAGTGGCACAACTTTGTACAGGAGAAATAGAAATTTAAGCACCAGGTACTAACACGGTATCAGGCAAACAACTGCTTGCTGACTTGTGACCCCGCTAGTCTAACTGCAATCATTTCACATCAGACTAGAGAAACTGAAGTCACAACTAGGAATTACAAGCAGCTATTTGTTCTGCAGAACCCTCCCGCATCATCAAACAATTCTGCGTTAACTAGAGAGGACAAGTATTTCCAGAGCATTTGAAGTTCCTTAAAGTTTATCATTTTTTACAAAATAAAAAATTCATTGCATGTTAGCCAAAAGTTTAGTTAATCCAAGGTCAAAATTTAAGAAATTCTACTGACAGTTAACCTTCTCCTACTTTCCTACAGGACAGCAAGCACTTTCTACAACTGCAATAGGAATATTAAGACAGTAGACACTGAGGTATGGGGGGGGGGAGAAATCAGACAAGTATATAAACACAGAACTAGAAACTATTGTGATAGTTTTAAAATTGACCATGAGAGCAGTCATAATGTCAGAAAAGTTAATTAAGCCAACAATGAAAAAAATCTAGATTTACTTCTAAGATTCTATTTGCTTAATAACAATCCTAGAACCTTTTATTTCAAGGGTGTCCAGGAAAATGCTTGTTTTAGCATCTTCTTACTTGTTTTCAACTACTTGACAACATGCCCAGATGTCTCAAAATCTCAAAGCAAATTCCTGAACCAATTTTACTGCTGGAAGTGAAAAGATGTCTAGGCAATATAATTGAGCCAGTAGCTTTAAATGACAGACTTGAGGACCATTGCTTCATTTATTAAGGATTTTTTGTGGTGGTTTTTTTTTTTTTAATCTGTGCTAGACAGATTTTAGAAAGAAATTAAAAATGACAGTAACAACTCGGGCTTCAGTCCAAACACAATGATACAAGCAGGTGCCTCTGTTTCAAAATGACAACGCAAAAACCACCCTCCCCTCACTTCCCCTTATTTCTGCTCTCTCTTCCTCTCACTTGATGCAAATACCCCTCACAATCGGCATCTTTCCTAGACAAGCACATCGTAAGGCATTAGAGAAAAAAATATCTCAAAAGAGTTGCTAAGAAATGTTAGAGTATTGAAACTCATAATAAGCCTAGAAGAGGACTATGCTTTTCTTCTTAAAAGGAGAAGAAGAAGGAGAAGTTCTGGTTATATTTGACAACAGCAGCTGTAGGTCTTCCTGAAGGGGTTAGATAACTTTAGCACCTCCTTCTCAGTACCTAGTCTGTTCTTCCCCTGATAACATTATTTTGGGCAACTGCTTCACTGAGCAATTAGGAACAGACTGAAGTCTCCAAAACACTAAGTTCCTTCCGTTCAAAAGGGATAAATGTCTAATTTAGAAAAGGGAAGAGGATCCAAGTACTGGGATGAAACTGGCAAAAACATCAAGGTTGTTTACCATTTATGTAGTACCCACCAAAATAGTCATTTTTCTATTGCTATAATGAACTAGCGTGGTCCTTCCCTAACACTGCTTTAGTGCAGCACTGAGGATCAACGAAGGCCTGTACAATGCAAAGAACCACGCAAGAATACCTCCACAAGATCTTAAGTTTTTACTTCGCCACCAGCTTTCCAACAACAAAAAAACCCAGACTTAAAAAAAGTCATTTTCACAGCACACTGTGAGAATGTCACATGTAGCAACACTATATTCTGCTTGATAAAGAGCAGCATCGGAAACAGCAGAGTTAAAAAGTCGATCAGAATTTCTTATTTCCAAACCATCCCACTACATCAGTTCATCTTTAGATGTGTTGTTCTGGAGAGAAACATTGCTAGATTTTTAGAACTTGCTAAAATAAAAAGACTGACATTAAGAATAAAAGCATGAGAAAGACAAATTTGAGTATTCTTTTTGCACTAGGAAGCAACAAGCTTCATTTAAAAATAATGATTATCAATATTTAGTTTTTATAGTCTATGATTATCTTTGGGGCACATAAGAATGTTTGGTGCTCTACCCAGAATTTCAGTTTAGAGACAGGATTATTATAGAGATTTTTTTTGTGTGTTTTGCTTGCACTGAGTTCTTGGAACCGCTTGTATATTAAGCGTCAAGCTCATTGAACTTACTCTTTGTTACGCAGCTTGGATGCAGCCCTCAGGATTTCCCGGCATGTCACCAAAGAAGTCCTCCGCGGGTTGGATTCAAATCTGTTTCTCATGTAACACCCAATTGTATTTACAGAGATAGTTAGAGCCACACTCTATGTACTTCAAATGAAAAGGTCCAGACTTTTGCATATATAAAACACATTGGTTTGTTAAATTAATGTTTTCATATGAAGATTGCAGCGCATAGTTTGACTTTTCATTTTGCCCTTGGTGGAGAAGGATGAAAGGTTCACTGACATTGTGTCCACACACAATTTATAATTAGTTTTTCAAATAGCAATAGGAAAAAAAGAGGGACTTTCCTAGTGTGCTTTCCCACTAAATACTTCAGATTATTTTAAATTTTTTTTTTTAAAAAACTAAAACATGTAAGCTCTGAATCATGCAAAATATGACCACCTCAGCTACATTAATCTAACGTAACTGGGCAATTGGTGAAGTTGCCAGACCATCCGAAGAGGTAGTGACAGTCCATTCTGACAGTGTCAGCCTGATGTGTGGGCTAAGTTAAAAAAACAACAAAAAAAAAAAAAAACAAACCAAGAACAAAACCAAAACACTGAGGCATCACCGTATGCTCGCTGTGTTTTCCATTTTGGTATTCTCAGTCAACCACTCTTCTCTTGACATTGGTAGCTGACATTTACCACTGCACCAACATAGTTAGAAGCAGTAAACTTGTGTTTCGTTTTGTTAGCAGCTCTACACTCAGTGCTATTCATCATATATAGGTGGGTCTCCATCACTGGAAAACATTGACAGTTTCTTTCCATGATTCTGCACGTGATCTTCATTCATCTTCTCCAAAGCTTCAATCTAGAGAGCCAAAAATAAATCCATGCTGAAATTGTAAAAGCACATCTGCACCAGAATGTTTCTCAACAGTGTTAAAAGGTAGCTTCAGGTGACTGATCAGGTATATACAATGTTGGTGTTTCAATGATTCAGTTGTACCTATGGAGCAAGATACTTTAAGGAAGTACAGCTTGAAACATCTGTTCTCAACAAGTCAGTAAAACAAGCAGCACTCCTTCATAGCCTCATGCTATGTAACTGAAATGCAGGAATTGCAGGGAGGAGGGGATGACTCTTAAGACTTCGGCTGTATTCCCCAAAGTACGGAAGCATTCCTTTCTCCAACTCTGAACACCTCTACTGTAACTCAGCCGATCCATCAGCATTGGAGAAATTCCAAGTAATACTAAGATTACAAATCCACTGCAATAATTTTTAACGGTGAAAGTTGAAGACAGTTTTACTTAAATGTTTTGTGCAATCAAAGTAACACAGTACAGTAGCTTATTTTAATCTTCAGGCTGATAAGTTTGGATTACTTCCTCTTGTACTCCAGGGTAAGTAATTTTAGTTACTAGTGACTAAAGTCAAAGTCTGAAGTTCAAGGATGGACCGCTCAAATTCACCTCTATGTAAACAGCAATGTAAGTCTTTCCCATAAAATTTATACAGTAAAAAAGATGACCAAACAACAACAACAAAAAACCTGACCCCACCACACCCCAACACTCACACAGTCAGTGAGGGAATTGGTTTTCGCTTGATTAACTGATACATAAGGATCTTGGAACAGTGCCGTTGTGGTCCCTTTATCTCTTGCCCTGTCACCCTTAATTAGTAAGTATGGAATTTTTGACAACTTATTTTTATAAATGCCTGGTATCAGGATGCATGCCTTGAGGAGTTACAGCCAAAATTTGAAAATTAAAAGCCAAAGGTGACCAAAGATTCCTTGTCCATATTTACATTAGCATGGTTTCAGGTGTCTAATTTTAGGCTTGAACATTGAAAATGCTAGCCGAGTATTCAAGTAAGTTAAAATCTAAAACACAAAAAATAAGCAGTAGAACTTTTTTTTTTTTTAAACCAACTTTCCTTTCACTGCACAACCTTTAACATATGGAAGGAAAGACAACAAAGCTAGCTTTTAAACTAAACCAGATCACTAAATTGCCCTTAACACTGAAAGAAGCAATTATATGCAGCATGAAGCCTTTTATACTTTGGAGCAGGGAGATCAGGAAAGGGCATAGAGAGGTCTGTCAATCCGAGTTTCAGAAAATGTTTTTACTATGTTGAAATAATCAGGTTTAAAAAAAAAAAAAAGAGATGCAGAATGCTGAAATTATACTCACACACACTAATCATACAAAATAAACGTGGAAAGTTAAGGTATTACAACAGCTACTATAGCTAACCAAATTAAAACATTAGACACGGAGAAAGCCATACCTCTGCTTGGAAGTCTACTTCATTGTCAGCTGTAATATTTAAACCCGAGACAGCATTGAAGAGTTCACGCTCATTAAGTGCTTCTGCCACACCTCCTTTCTGGAAGAACTAGTCAATATAAAAAGCACACATTAAACACTTTACTACACAAAACAAAATACTTTTTTTCCTTCCTCAAGTTACAATTACAGTATTTAGTCAAAATGACATTTTTGCTTTTGTTGACCTACAGATAAAAATAACTGAAAGAAGTTTTAAGTTCTAGTGGTACCATTTTCTTCTTCCACACTTTTTTCCCTTCTGGAGAAGAATACTATCGGTACAGACAATATGCAAGAGAAATCATATATAGGTGTTAGTGATAATTTTTTACAGAGTTGTACTGGTTGATTTTTAGTTAGCTCTGAATTGATTTTATCTTGGAAAACATTCAGCATACCAGAGGATTGTCAGATGAAGAGGTCCTACCTGTGAAACATTCTTACAGTCTCTGAACAAAAACTCAAGTCCGTGAGGATGGGTTGGCTCCACAGACTGACTGACATCAATAAGCCAGACCTGTAGTCACAGAGAGACAGCAATTCACTTTGTGTTAACATTTCACATTAGAGGAAACCTCTCCTCCCCACATCAAGAATACGCTCACCTTCCCATCATGCCAAAGCATGTTGTATTCACTTAGATCTGCATGGACCAGGTTGCACTCCTTATACAACTGTTGCATCATCTGCAAGGAACCAAATTAATGAATGAATGAAGTGTGCTATACTCCAAATAACTATCATTTGCATGACTATAACAAAGCAAATCCTTTCCCCAATCACCCACCCAATTTACATCATTTTTTTCTTGTCTTCAATAAAGTTTCACATAGGGAACCGCAGTTTTGGTAAACCACCAGCAAACTAAGCTTTTATCACTGAGCTTAGCTGGTCTGGGAAACTCATGTCAGCTCTGCCAACCAGTCCAAGTGCGTAAGACAGATAAATATGTTCTCTAAATATACCTGTCATTCTCACCCCTATCACACAGGAAAGAAGTTTCACAGTTCTAGATACTGAATCCTAACTAGTATGCGTAGTCACATGTTGCTCTACTGGTCTCAAGATTTGAGGCGCAGACTATTCATATTATCAAGCTGTCAGGCTGGTTGGTTGGGTTTTTTTAATGTCTGTAGGAAGCTAAGAGTGAGTGGACAGTTAGCAGGGACATGTTTGAACCAATTACAGCAGATAATAGGAAAGTAAAGTATCCACCATGCAATATTCTCTGATTTCTAGATTTGTTAAAAATGGGGGTGGGGAGGGGGCTATCCACTGGAGAGTGCTTAAGCATTGTAAATTAAGTATTTGGTAAGCCCAGAAAGACTTCAGAGAACTTTCTAAACCACATACTGCTTCTATAAAAGGAGGACTACTTGCTCATAATTTCTCTGCTGCTAAATATTTGTTTGTCATCAAGTTCCAGCACGTTTTCTCCTCAGATTAAGATTCAATTTATTTTTTTTTTTTTTTAGTACATAATTTCTTATTTATTCTAAGTCACACATTAAGCAGCAGTAAAATAAGCCTTTGGACTCTTGATCTTGAAAGTGATGCAAGCATCCTGAAAAGTAAATAAATGCTGATTTGTCCTTTAAGTTATTCCCCTAAAAGAAAACACAACCCAGAATTGGAGGAGAAATCAGCATCATCTTACATTAAGAATCTGACAGTAGGCCTTTTTCATATCTTCACTACTAAGTGTTACATCCTTTAGTTTAGGAGCTGGGACTTGATCCTGGCCAATGAAAGACATAACCAAGACGTGTTTCTTAAGGATAACCACTTGAGGACAAGGAATTCCTGCATTTTGCATTCTGTGAATCAGAAAATAGATACTGATTAAGAAAAACAAAACAAAAACCCTACAGTTCTAGTTCCTGCTTGCTCATTTCCAATCCTAGAGAGCTGTGTGTGAGAAATTTGATCCAGTCAAAAAGTCTTTGATAGAGACTGAATTGAAAACTAAATAAATATATATATTTCACAGTATTTCACATAGGAAAATTTAGATCTTAAAGTCATAAGTGGGTCTAAAAATGCTCACTGAAAACTAATTACTTTTACAGCTAGAGCCTGTTAATTTCATTCGTTTGTAAATTCTGCTGCCAAATCGCTGAAGATGCTGACAATTCATTAAACTGTAAGAAACCAGAGGCTTATTCAATCTGTGCTGGGTTGTATATTGTTTAGCCTAACAATCAAATCTAAACTTCTACCTAGACATAGCATAACTTCCTTAAACAGAGAATCGGAAACCGACAGGCATTTGGCAACTACATTTTTTTTTCTCTTTACCTTGTTAAATTATGCATTTCTTTCTCAGCCCACATACGAATAATCTTTCGTGGATTCAATTTACTGAAGCGGTCTTTAAATCTGTAGTCATCCTTAATGTATTTGTCACGGTTCTTGAATTCATTAAGAGTTGTTTTAAACACTTTGATGGCACATTCTGGAGGTATAACTTTATCTTCAGTTGCACTTCTCGTGGAAAAAGTCAAATACATAACAAAGTTAACCATTCACATCTTTACAAGCAAATGCATGGGTTTGGTGGTCCGTCCGTCCGTCCGTCCCCCCCCCAAACATTGTAAGATACAGCGATTTTTAATATACGAGAGGAAAAGATCTGTTTTTCTGTCAAATTTGGAAGCCAATTCAAGTTAAGTTTATAAAAGTTCTATGATTAAGCTTGTATATGAATGTTTGGGTATGGCATTTTGATTATATGTTGCTTATCAAATAGGTTCCATCTCCCAGTTTGTTAATATTTTACTTAAATCATAGAACAGTTTGGGTTGGAAGGGATCTTTACAGGTCTTCTAGTCCAACCCCCAAATGTCATAGCTAATAACAGCCCTGTTAATGGATGTACTTGCTTCAAGAAATTACAAGTGAAAAGAGTCTTGCATTAGAATAATAATGGTAGTATCAAAACATTTTGTTAAGCACCACAAAGATATCACCCATTGAATAATACTAAGCAAAAGAACACTCCTGAACATCATTCAAGCAAAGGTCAATTAAAAAAAAAAAAAAAAAAAAAAAAAAGGCACACCTTTACTCCCCACCCCCAACCTACCTTTCTCTGGACATCTCTAAATAGATTATCTGTATTTGGGTTTTATTAGCTCTTTCTTAACTCACTTTAAACTAGTGGTGTTTCAATGCACTACAATCATGACTAACATACTACATTCCTTCCAGCATGGTAGTCTTTAAAACTGGACTCTTGCATGATTTGCAAAGTGAACAGCATCCCAACACTATTCTCAAGGTAACCCAAAAGGAACAAACGGCACCTCCACTGAACTGCACAGATGGAGCTGATAATACAGCAAGCTGTACGGAAAGACAATCTTCAGATAGCCTAAGATCATCATGACAGCACTGCAGTCTGGGGCAGGTCGGTGGAAAGAGTTCCTCAAAATCTCAAGACTTCTTTTTTATAAAAGGAATACATCTTTTTCCACAGAAAGCTATAGTGGATTTGTCCCCGTTCATTAAACGGTCTCCAAGGAGGAAAGCGGGGATTTTTTTATTTTACAGTTGGTACCATTTGGTTTTCAGATTTTTATTATTATCATCTGTATATACATGAATACAAACTTTAAGTCTTGGGAATAAAAAAAGTGCAGATCGTTTAAATATTTTTGTGGTTTCTGCTTTTTAAACCATCTCTTAAAGCTACTGTCAATAACAAACAATATACCTACTTTCCTCCATATGCATGAAAAACAACAGATTCTTTTCCTGTGCTGATGCAGCCTGTGATGGTCTCCAGCATCCCAGCGTTGACCATCTTGTACAGAAGTAAACGCGTTTTAGGATCCACTGCTTTCTCCTACAGGCAAGAAATGAATACTCAATTCATTAAAATAATTCTTTGCTTTACAGTGAGTTTAGAGTATTTAAGTACCACAATCGTTCAACTAGGTGGAAAGAATAATGTATTAAGAGCATTCTCTCAATTGATAGAGAGAAAAAAGAAAAAAACAAACCAAACAAGCAGATGAAGCAAAGCCAAACTGCTCCAGCACCGTCATCTTAAGATTTAATACTCTCAGGTACCTTATCAACTGTGTAGCACATGCAGTATTTTACCAATTCTGCATAAACTACAGACTGTGGCTCAAGAGCACCTTCTACAGTGTTTTCAAGAAGTCTTTATAAATCATGAATCAAAATATCCCAAGTATCATATTCCTTTTTTATCAGTAACAATAAAATAAAGCGAAACACCCAAATTTGAAGAAGTCC